TACATGCAGAGTACCTTACACAACTGTAACGTACATGCAGAGTACCTTGGCCAGTCCCGTGCAGGCTCCCTGGGGGTCAGTTCGGTCTCTGTGAGCCTCCGTGAGCCCAGGTTAGTTGGTTCTGTGGATGTTCTTGTGATGCCCTTGACCCCTCTGGCCTGTGAAGTTATTCCTAACTGGTTTCTTTCTTGTACATCCCACATCTGCTTTCCTAGCAGGTCTGCCAAATGTAACCTCAATCTAGATGTTTCCACACAAATGGCTGTCCAACTCGTCCAAGTCAAAGCGCTGCTTTCTAGCTCCTCCTCCTGCTTCCTTTATTGACTTCCTTCAGCTGGTTTTCATACATTGCTTCCCACCTCTCTCTCTCGTATTAGACTGGCCACTCTAGTCTGTAAGTCTGTCAAACTCTGCCCATCCCAGAGCTTTCACAGAGGCTTACATGCTTCTCATCACGTGTCTGCTTGTCACCTGTGCTGACTGGTTTCCTGTCACCTGTGCTGACTGGTTTCCTGTCAACCTGACACCAGCTGGAGACAAATTTAGGAAGAGGGATTTTCAATGGAGAAAACATCTCTGTAAGATTTGCCTGGACACAAGCCTGCGGTGCATTTTCTTGACTACAGATTGATGTAGAAATCAGCCGATTGAGGGTGGTGCCTTGCCTGGGCAGGTGGTCCTAGGTGTTATAAAGTGGAGGCTGAGCAAGCCATAGGAAACACGTCAGTAAGCCGCTTTCCTCCATGGCTTCTGCTTCAGTTCCTGCCTCCAGATTCCTGTCCTGTTTCAGTTCCTGCCCTGATTTCCCTCAGTGATAGGCTGTCACCTAGGAGAGTAAGCAAAAGAAACCCTTTTCTCCCAAAGTTGCTTTCGGTCATAGTGTTTTATCACAGCAATAATGACCCGGAGACATCATCTTAAAGGGCTGTTTTGAAAACTAGGGATTTTTTTTCCACAGAGAAACCATCTCCACTCAGCCTGTATACAGTGTGAGGCATTTACTTCCCCTTCTATGCTTGTCCCTGTCTGCATTATAACATTAAACGTTTCAAAACGACTGTGGGCATTTGTATGCACATGTGTACAAGGATACATACGGGTATGCGTGAGCATGCAGATGAATATATGTACATGTGCATGCGTGGATAGAAATGCATGTGTGTGTTTGTATGTGTATGCATACAAGCATATGAGGGTGTGTGTGTATGAGGGGGAGCGGTTGCTTCTTTCTCAGCTCCATGGAGGCACATGAAAATCTGCTTGCTTTATTCCTGTGCACTCCACACCATGCAGTCACACGTTTGCCCTGAGAGACTAAACGCAGAGACAGTGACTCTCTTCTTTCTCCTACCTCCTCACCACAGAGAGGGAAGCATCATTGTGGGCTATGAAGTAACCGGCTCCAGTAGCACAGCTGAGCTCCTGTCTGCCCTGGAGCAGGTGGCAGAAGAGGCACTGACGGCCCTGAAAAGGCGGTTCCCGGTCGAAGACGGCTCCCTCCGAGTGTTCGGGAAAGGTAAAGTGGGCTTCTTCTTTGGTTCAGTCTTTTGCTGTCCTGGGACTGCAGATGCCTAGTTCCAAGAGAATCGCTCTAAAACCCACTTCCAGTAGAAACTGGCAGGTTGCCCTCCGCCCCCACACGACTCAACCCCAGCTGACTCTCCGCAGTTACTAATTGGAGATCTGAGCATCTCAGATAAATATCCTGGAACACTGACCTCACTACAGGCTGTGATAGGCGTGACTCAGCACCGCTTTGCCGGTACACACGCTGGAAAAGCCTTGGCGCTAAGAGTGGTTTTAAATCATCATTCAAAGACCCAGGGAAAATGCACATACCCTCCTCTCTCTACGTGTTTAAAAATCCCGTCTTAGTTCATTTCCTCTTACTGAGGTAAAATGCCTTGATGAAAGCAACTTGGGGGAGACAGGGTTTATTTGCCTCATAATTCCAGGTTATAAGTCAACTTTGCGGGGAAGTCGAGGCAGCAGGAACTGAAACAGCTAGTCATGGCCACATCAAAGTCCAAGATCCAGCCCATAAAATGGTGACCCTCACATTCAGAGCGAGTCCTCTTACCTCAGCTAAGAAAATCCATTGGAAGCCTACCCCCTCACCATCCCAATCTAGACAAGCCCTCCCTGAGACTTCCCTCCCAGGTAATTCTACATTATATCAAGTTGATGTTGATGATTAAAACAAACCATCACACATTTTCCTCCTTCCCTTCCCTTCCCTTCCCTTCCCTTCCCTTCCCTTCCCTTCCCTTCCCTTCCCTTCCCTCCCTTCCCCTCCCCCCCCCCCCCTCCCCTCCCCCCCTCCCCTCCCCTCCTCTCTCCATCCCTCCCCTTTCTTCCACCCTCTTCTATTTCTTGGAAGACAGTCTCTCTCTCTCTCTGTAGCCCAGACTGGCTTCTGATTCTCAAGTCCCCACCCCAGCCTTCTGATTCCCGGGATTATAGGTGTGCACCAGTATGCCGAATATTTTTTTAAAAAATTAATTAGATCCAGAACAATCAAGCACATTTATGGGATGATAATGTACTACTTTTGAGAGCTGATGATATTATGTAATGATGTAATTAGCACGACTATCACATCAAACATTTATGATTTCCTTGCAATGCAAACAGTCAACAAATGCTTTCCAGCTATTTTGATATGCGGTACACCGCAGCCCCTGAAAAGGAGGATTCTTGTGACTTGTGGCATAATGGATGAATCTAGATAACATTAGGTTAAATGCAATAAACCAGATACAGAAAGATCCATACTGTATGACCTCACTCCTGTTATGGAGTCCAAAAGAATCTGTTGGTTTCACAGAAGCTGAGAAATGGCATGCGGTCCTCAGAGACTGTAGGGAGTAGGCAAAGTGGGGAGTAATGGAGGGGTGGGTCTACAAGAAATATAAGATGCAGAATAGGAAGTGTGCAGGCAGTGATAAATGTTGGGTATTCATTTTACTTTTGAAATTTAGCCTTAGGAGTCTCCAGCCTCTGTCAGCGTCTGTCAACGCGTTCACCCAGCAAATGCTTACTATCTGATATGTCAGACACAAAACAGAACACTGAAGAAATCAAAATTCCAGGCCTTAAAAACCTGGCTTCCAATAGTGCCATCTCCTGGTGCCAGCCGTAGGAGAACATACTATTAAGGGTCATTGGTGATGGTAGTAAAATCAGCTTTGAAATAGGTAAATGGCAGGAAGAAGCACGTCCTGGCGACAGTCACCCACCTTCCTGTTGCATTATTACTCTTTGTTCTAGCAAAGATTATCAAGTATTTTCTCCCTCCCACACATGCTTGTGTGAACGACATGTGTATGCATGCAAGTACGTTTGCATGTGTATGGGCACAAGTATGTGTGGGTGCATGTGTTGCACGTGGAGGCCCAAGGTTGTTGTTGGGGTGTCTTCTTCAGTTGCTTTTCACCTTGTTAACCAGGCGCGGTCTCTTACTGAATGTGGAGCTTGTAGTTTCCAGCTAATGTGGCTGGCCAGACAGATCTGGGAATTCCCTCCTTATGTCTCTTGAATGCTGATAGGACACAGGTGGGCTGCCACGCCCACTTTACTTTCGTGTGAGCTCCGAGGCTCTGAACTCTTGATGCCCATGCTTGCATAGCAGGTGCTCAACACATTGAGCCATCTCCCCTGCCTGCTAGGATTTTTCTCAAGGGATTGCATCCAGCCTTGTTTTCACATAGCACTAACCGGTCAACAGCCCAATATGGACAACATTTATGGCATTGGTCAGCTACCTGGAAGGAGGAGCCATCCTCGAACAAGAGGCACGAGGAAGAAGGAAGGGGAATGAGGATGGACATCAGCAATGCACCCGTACTTCCTCATTTTCCCGGGTTTCAAATCTGCAAAGATAGCTTCTACATTGCTTAAACCATGCAATTTTTGTCATCGTTGTTGTTGTTGTTGAGTGCTAGAATGTTCTGGAGTCATTTCTTCCCGTGTCTGTTACTTTTCAGTCCAGTGTAACAGCGTCTCCTTTGGATTCGGGTCTGAGGATGACGAATATACTCTACCCTGTAGCAGCGGCTTCCTTGGAAACATCACCGTCAGATGCCGGCACTCTGGGTGGCAGGTCACCAAGGAGTACTGCGTGCTCTCTCAGCTAGCAGAACTGGAGAAGGTGACACCTTTTTAGGAACTTGGCAGTTTGACTTTCACAGTGGGCATCACCCAGAGAGTGTGGCTCGGTAGAGGGTCAAATGTGACTGTTTATATCTTTAGGCAGAGTGCAAAAACATGCGGGCTTTGCCAGGCCTTGGACCAGGGCTCGTGAGCGTGACAGGCAGAGTCAGAAAATGCCTGAGTTGATGGCTTTGCCTTAGTAGGGTGAAGTCCTTCAAGGCTGACAGATATGATAGATGCTAAAACATCAGTTAAGCCAGCTAGACTTGGAAATCCAAGAGGACTTGGAATTGAAAATTGGGGGGAAGCTTGAGTTAGGGCAATATACTTAATGTAAGCGAGGTTGTACAAATATCTCCTGTTGGAATAGTGAGTAGGTTGGATGGGAGGGTGACCCATACAATAGGCCTTGCATTTAAACATAAACATAAATATAATAAAAATGGAAATGTAAATATTCAGGAAACAAATGACCAAGCCGTCAGTGGTCCATTTGGTTACAATGAGAGTGAACTAGAAACAGGGTTGCTTGATTCCTAGTCCGGTGCTGTGGCTTCCATTCTAGCTTTGCATTGAAAACAAAGAAAGAAAAAGGAAAGAAAAGAGAAGGAAGATGGTCAGGAACACAAGAAGGAAGATGGAACAGGAACACAGGAACACAGGGAAAATGTCTTCTAGATTGGCTCAGACGTTGCTCTTGTAGCAAACCTCCATTTTGGGTAGCGCTTCCATCCCAGTCAGCAGCCTTTCTCTCAGGATAGAGAATAACAAAGAGGGCTAACTATCAAAGCATCCTGGGGCAGTTGCCAGTCCCTTCCACTCTCTGTGTTCCTTATCTATAAACTCAGCAGTTGGCCACCGAAGTCTAGTCTTGCCCTGACCTTCCTTGCCCCAGTTCTGACACGGCAATAGTTAGAACTTATTGGTCCTTGATGTGCGGGCCCACTGAGAGCAGTACAGGCAGCTGAGATGTGCAAGGAGGCTGTGTGGGATCTGGGATCCTGGTCAACTTGTCCTGATGGAAGCAAACAATGCTCCTGCTGGCTACTCTTGCTATCCTGGCACAGCAGAAGTAGATGGGCCTGAAAGGAAGAGGTGACACTCTAAACCCAGCAACGCAGTGGGGATGGACCAAATCCAGTAGTCATATTGGCACATGTGCCCATCTCTCTGCTCACTCTTTACAGGAAGCACAGATTGGGCCCTGGCAGAGCTCGGTACTGGCAGTACCACTTTTAGCTGAGTACTCCTTGCCAAGTCACCAAAATCTCAGTCATTATCCATCTTCCTATAACTGAGATGGTGATGTATTTGAAAGTGTTTTTCAAAGAAATTTTTCATGATCCAGCTTCCTTAGCACTAAAATATCAATGACACTACTTCCTCTAAAGAGTAGTTAAGAGGCTCAATCACCACATTCCTACTAAGCATTATTAAGTATTTGGCCCTAGATCTAGAATATAGGAATCCCTGAACCACAGCTATTTTTGTTGCCGCTCCTGTAGAGTTACCTGCCAATACACTGCGCTGTTCTGCAGCCAAGACGTCCCATTTAAGTCTAACGCTGGACAAGCGTTTCTGGGTTTCCCCCCTAGAGCATAATCTTTCTTTCTTCTTTTTAAGAATTTCAGTATGATGTCAGGCAATGTCACAGAGGCAGACGTGTCATCTCTGGTGCAAAACCTTTCTGCCATCGTTCAGCAAAGCCCGTCCACCACGGCTGGGAATCTGGCTTCTGTGGTGTCGCTCCTGAGGAGCGTGTCATCCCTGTCGCTGGAGAACTCTTTAACAGTGTCTAATCTGACCCTGCAGGTACGACATTTCTACACTATTTATTTAGCATACTTTGAGGACAGGTCTTACAATGTAGCTTTGGCTGGCCTGACACGCTACATAGGCCTCGCTGGCCTTGTACTCCTGAAAAGCACACTGGTTTCACCTTCCGAGTGCTTGGACTGTAGGCCTATTTTACTACACCCAGGTGGGAGGTCGCATTTCAAATGGTACGTCTTGTAGGAAGCGTATTAAAAGCCTGGATGATGGATGATGGGGAAACTCGAGAACAATAGGGAAGCCATGGAGCAGTCCCCATGTGAGTTTCTTTGGCATTTCCACAGCATACAATGAACTCCGGATCAACAGACTCAATTCAGATCTGCCCATGAACAGGCTGCTTGGGAAGGTTCAGGCTTAGCAGGGTAAACTTCTGCACTCTTGAACATGGGCATTAATATTTCAATTCTTCCCTCCCCAGATCCCATAGTAGGGATTGAACCTAGGGCCCAATGCTTGCTACACCCCCAGTCCTTGATGTATGTAATCTATAGTTTTTCCCTGTGACTGTGAATTCTGACCTTAGCAGTGTATAATTTCAGAACTTCTTTCTCTTGTCTGCTTTAGTTTAGATATTTAAACTATACATGATAATATTTGGTCACCATAAGAATGGCTGTGCAGTTAATTTGTTTTGTTCAATAGAGTCTCACTGGGGATACAAACCACACTTAAGTGTGAGCCCCGTATGCTTACAGGTTCGTGGAGTATATGTTATGGTCTCCCGTTTTGCATTTTTCTGAGATTTCTGTGTGCACGCGCGAATGTGTGTACACCTACGTCCTTATATGTTTCTTATGCTTTTTCTTTGTTTTTTGTTTGTTTTGTCTTAGTCTGAATTATTTGTTTTTATTTGCTCTTACTTTATCTTATTGTTATTATTTAGATGCTTGTTTGTTTTCTGATGAGAGAGAGAAAAAAAGGTGTGGATTTGGGTGGAAGTGGAGGTGGGGGAAACTGGGAGGGGAAGGCAACAGAATGTTTTATAAAAAATTTTCAGTAAAAACAAAATAGAAGAGGAGAAAAGGAGAATGGCAGTGCCTGGTGGCACAGAACTGTAATTCCAGCACTTGAGAGGCTGACGCAGGAGGACTGTGGATTTGAGGCCGAATATGAGTAAGGGCTCTCGGGGTCTGAGTCATCTCCCCAGCCAACAATTCAACACTGAGCTGGTTTTGAGGCTCGCTGTTGATATGCTGAAGCAGTAAACAACACCAAAAACCCAGGAATTAAAATCTGAGCATCTATATCATGAATTTACAAACCTTTCCCGTTTTTTTCTTTTTTTTTTTTTTGATTGAAAATAGATGTTTTCATACACTGTGTCTTGATTGCAGCCCCTTTCCTCCTCTGCTCCAACCAGTTCCTCCCACCTCTTCTCCTGTCTGGATTTTCCCTGTTTTGGTCTCTCATCAGAAAAGAGCAGGGCTCTCAGGGATAGTAATAAAATAAAGTAGATGTGATAAAACAAAAGCATATTCTAACGTTAGTGAAAGCAGCAAAGTGGGGGAGCTGTTGGAAGTCACGTGCCTGTTTTTGTGCTGTAGCATGTTCACCAGGGCATGTTGTCTCTCCCCATGTAGTATGTTCACCAGTGCAAGCATTTTTCCCCATGTAGCATGTTCACCAGGGTGGTCATTTCTCCGCATGTAACATGTTCACCAGGGCGATCGTCTCTCCCCATGAAGTATGTTCACCCTCAGCCATCTCCTCTCCCCATGTAGCATGTTTACCCGTTCTCCCTCCATCTTAGGGATAAAGATAAAGGAACCCGCATGGTGTACAATGCCTGTTCCTCCATGCTAAAGAAAAGTCCTACTGTGATTGCAGATTACTTGGGTAACCACTCTGGACCCAACTTAAAAAAGTCATTTTATTTGTGGTGTTTGTGGGGCGGGGCATACACCATAGTGTGTGTATGGAGACCAGAGGACTATCTGTGGAAGTTTGTGCTCTCCTTTAATCCTGCGGGTTTGGGAATTGAACACAGGCCACCAGGATTGACAGCCGACAGACCCCCTGCCCACTAAGGTGGTATCTTACCACTTTGACCTGAGTTTCTTTACCCAAGCACTTCTACTGTATTGAGTGATGGAGCTGCAGTAATAAGAATTAAGAGTTTTACTGTGATCCTCAGCTCACCAATTCTACGATTATTTCCCCTTAATAAGAGCAACCGTCCACTCTCAGCTCTCCAGTCTCAGGAGACCTAAACTGACTTAGACTCTCATGTTTCAGAATGTCATCAACATAGCCGATCACATCCTGGATTCGGCCTCCATAGCTAGCTGGACGATTTTATCCCAAGAAGACAGGAGCACCAGCTCCCAGCTGCTGGAAGCTCTGGAAATCACCAGCATTCTGGTACCTCCCAGTGATCTGCCTCTTCATTTTTCTCGACCATTCATCGACTGGAAAGGGATTCCAGTGACCCAGATCCAAAGCACACAGGGTTACAACTATCAGATGGAAATGAGACAGCAAAATGCCCCTCAGCCCATCCAAGGTCACGTGCTTATCAAACCAGACCAATTCCAGAGACCCCATCCAAAGGCTATTATCAGCATGGCCTCCTTGACCCTTGGGAGCATTCTACCCATCACCCACAAAGGAAGTGTACAGATCAACGGGCCCGTGATATCCACTCTGATCCAAAACTATGCCATCAGTGAAATTTTCCTGAACCTTTCCAAGATCAAGGGAAACCTGAGCCAGCCTCACTGTGTGTTTTGGGATTTTAGTCACTTGCAGTGGAGCGACGCCGGCTGCCAGCTCGTTACCGACGCTGTAGACACAGTCCTGTGCCGGTGTACGCACCTGACGGCCTTCTCCATGCTCATGTCGCCCCTTGTGCCCTCCTCGGTGGTCCCCGTGGTGAAATGGATCACGTACATAGGACTGGGCATCTCCATTGCGAGTCTAATCTTATGCCTGCTCATCGAGGTTCTGTTTTGGAAGCAAACCAAGAAAAGCCCAACCTCCTACACACGCCACGTTTGCCTGGTGAACACCTCCCTGTCCCTCTTCATCGCTGATGTCTGGTTTCTCGTTGCTGCCAGCGTGGACCCCGCCGCCAGCGCGTCTGGCATCTGTGTAGCCGCGGTCTTCTTCACCCACCTCTTCTACCTCGCTTTGTTCTTCTGGATGCTTGCGCTCGGCATCCTGCTGGCTTACCGCCTCGTCTTCGTGTTCCATCACCTAGCTATGCCCACCATGATGGCTATAGGGTTCTGCCTGGGCTATGGGTGCCCTCTCCTTATATCCATCATCACCGTTGCAGTCACCCAGCCTAGCAACAGCTACCGAAGGAACAACGTGTGTTGGCTCAACTGGTCGGGCGAGAGCAAACCTCTCTTGGCGTTCGTTGTTCCTGCATTGACTATTGTGGCTGTGAACTTGGCTGTGGTGCTGCTGGTCCTGAGGAAACTCTGGAGGCCAGCGGTTGGAGACAGACTGAGTCGGGACGACAAGGTCATCGCCATCCGCATGGGAAAGAGCCTCCTCGTTCTGACCCCGCTGCTAGGGCTCACCTGGGGCTTCGGGATAGGAACAATGGTGGACAGCCAGAACCTGGCTTGGCACATTCTTTTTGCTTTACTTAATGCTTTCCAGGTAAGAACAATAAGAATGTTGTATTATGCACTCTTGCATAATAGGCTTTCTGTAACCCAATAATAGGGTTCTCTGCTTATGCAGCAAGCCAGATCAAGCCGAATTGAAAAGGAAAAAGAACAGGTTTATTTAAGCAAATCAACTCCTGGGTGAGTTTTCCAGCCCCAGATCTCGAGGCAGGAGAAGTCACACGTGTGAACTAAAGCAGGAAGGTTATACAGATGCGGGGTGATGGCATGTCCACCACAAGCTAAGTTTGTGCCCAATGACCAAAAGCTGAATGCTTTAGGTGGGGACTTGGGTGGCTTCAGGGGAGAAGCAACTGCCGCCACCAGGAATGGGGGAACTGGGCTTTTGGTGCCTGTTCTTTGTTGGCGATTCAGTGAGAGGGTTTGGAGGAAGAGAGAGAGAGAGATGAGGCTTCTCAGACCATGCAGGTGCAAGCTGGAGGTTCCAATCAAACACTATCATATTCGTAGGGAGATAGAGTTGGTGGATGAAGATGATCTCATCTCCTCGGCTCTAACACAAAGTGCGTGGAAACAGAGAGAAGATAAACCCATCCATTCTCCCCAGCAGCTCATGTCGTACCAAAGCAGAATTCTGAACTTTCCCAGTAACCCATGGCAGAGCTTAAACCTATTAGAGTTCACATAACTCATCTCTGTTGGGGTTGACTCGGTCCTCATCCTCTCATAGAAATCTCTGACAACGCAGAGAAAGAGAATAACTCATAAGTACCTGTTGGCCTTGACTGATACAAGGCAAGTCCTGAGAATTTAATAAACAGAGGCCAACAATCCGACACCAACAGCCAGAGTTTGTAAATGACACTTTCGTGGAACATAACTATGTCCATTAACATACATAGGGCCTATGGCTCTTTTCTCTCAATAGCAGAGGACCTGAAACAGAAGGTATGCATCTTACAAAGCCCCTAAGACTTACAAGATAGTCTTTACCCCCCCACACCCTAAAACAAACTTGCTGATCCTTACTACTAAGGATGGCATTTATATTCCATAGTCAGAGAGTGTTCAGAATCAATGAGAAGAATAATCCTTAGGTTTTGATGCACTTGGAGAAAGTCTCCAGCCGTGGTTTATTGCAGGTAAGGCTGGACCACCTGGGGCAATGACTCAGGGAAATGCCAGTCTTACTTTCAGGTTCTTTTCTCTCGTATATCAACTGTGTGCTTAATCTCCCCATCCCTCAGTTCCCTCAGCTGCCGAGCAAGGACCACGGTTCTGCTTATAGCACAATTCTGAGAATTAGGAGCGTAAATCAGCAGCTGACACAGTGCCGCAGACTCAGTAAATGCTTTGAGAGTCCCCTAGAGGTGATGCACCAGGCAACACAGCAGTCAATGTGCAAGCGGTGATGTAGTCACAGAGAGCATGCTCCGGATGGTGACAGGGCTTGAGAGCCCTAGGAAGCGCAGGCTTGGGAGTGGCGAGCTGTTTGGCAAGCACAGTTGAAAGGTTCTCTGAAGGAGAGGAAGAAAACTTTTGCCAAGACTTGCTAAGAGACATGCTTGAAGAGCAGGTCTCTCTCTCATAGAGACCTTGTTCCTCCTTCTGGGCATAGAGATGCTGGTGCCATCATACGTAGGTGATAAATGCTTACTAAATGCTTGGTCTAAAGAAAGACTAAGAAAACAGCAGTCACTGGGGCTTTGAATAACACCATAGTGGAGGATAAAGTTCCACGGGAGTTTATACCTTCATTCATTCAATCCTTTGCACATTAACATACTCATGGCAAAGCATCTGTGAGCACTTTGGGATGTGCCGGGCACCGTAAAGCTCATGCTATTCTTGCCGTCCAGAAGCCTATAGCCCAGCAGGAGGGCAGAGAAGAAAACAAGCTCAAACTGGGCATATAGTGCATGCCTATAACCCTAGAGCTTACATGCCTGCAACTCGGGGGTGGGGGGTAGAGGCAGAAGAATCACAACTTAGAGGCCAGCCTGGGCTACATAGTAAGTACCAGTCTAGCCTGGGTTATAGAATTTGGCCTTACCTTCCAAAGGAGAAAAAAAAATGACATTAGAATATAAGTTATCAAACAGGGTGATAAATTTGGGCCTTATAATATATAGATTACTTCTTGTCTGGAAAAGCAAACACAATATAATACCTATGATTTACTCTTTGCTTTGGTTGTTAAAGGGATTTTTCATCTTCTGTTTTGGAATTCTCTTGGATAATAAGGTATGTGAATATTCATTTTTCCCTTCATTCACTATTGCAGGCATATTTAAAAACTCCCCTTCAGTTCCAAGGCCTTTGTCATATACATTATGGGTTCTTAGGTAATAAATTCTATAACTTCACGAAAGGCAGAATCATCCAGGAGACAAGGGACATAAGCCATCCTTGCTGATGAAGCATATAGATTCATTAACAAATACACATCACAGTAGAGTGGGGGGAGGAGAGAGATAGAGAATAAGGGAGGGAGGGAGATGGAGGGAAGAGAGGAAGGGGAGAGAGGGGGAGGGGAGAAAGAGAATAGGGAGGCAGTGGGAAAGAGAGAGGAGGGGGGAGAAGGGGAGAGAGGGGAGAATAAGGGAGAAAGGGGGAGAGAGGGAGGGAGGGAGGTGAGGGAGGGAGAGAGAGAGAGAGAGGCTTTTTACATTTGTTTTTCTAAGCCTGGTGTGGTGAGTACATATCTATAATCCTATTAACTCAGATGTCTGAGGCAGGAGGATTGCCAGTTTCAAGCCAGTTTGTGGCACACAGAGAGTTACAGACCAGCTAGAGCAGTGAGATTCTGCCCCAAAAGCAGGCAGGAAAATCTCTTTCTAACTTAAGTTATGCTCTGGCTATGGATCAAGGGTCAAACTGCTTTCTAAGGGGATTAATTCTCTTTTGTGCCTTGACTTCCTTTGCCCATTTATTTAAAATATGTGGAAAGGATACAGCATCCACATTTCCAGGCTGTTGAATGCTCAGTGGTTTCTCACATTAAACAAAATTCCCAACAAAGGACTATTAGTCTTAGTGAAAGATAAATAGAAACAGATTGTAAAGAACCCTATCTCTCCATTTTTCCTCTTAAGCAGCAAGCAGTTACATCAAGAGGCAAAGGCAGGAATTGATGTTTTAGTGAGAACACAAAAAAATTTATTATTGGGGCTGGAGTTGCTCTTTCAGAGGACCCAGGTGTGGCTCCCAACACTCATATGACGACTTAACAGCCACCTATACCTCCCATTCCAGGGGAACAGATGTTTCTTCTGGCCTCCATAGGCACTGGGCATACACATGGTGTACAGACATACATGCCAAAAAACACTCATACACACAAACAAAGCACGATTAGTAAAAACTCAGGGAGAGAAACTGGGGTTCACCCTGAAGATCTGAAAAGCAAAGCAAACAGCCACTGCTTACCTGAACCTCAGGCCGAAAATGGTGATCCTGCCTCCAGGAATCTCAGAATGAGACTTCGGCTGAGAGCTGTCTCCTCCCATCTCACTAGGGCTGGGATTAAAGACATGCACCATTAGGATTAAAAGCATGCACACTCAGTTTCTATGGTAACTAGTGTGGCTACTGGGATTAAAGGTGTGTTACCACTGCCTGGTCTATAAGGTTGTACTCTCTGATCTTCAGTCAAATTCTGTTTATTAAAATACAAATGAAATGCCACTACACATAAATCAATGAATAACACCAAAAATAGAAAAGATTTTCTTGTAAACCCATTTGCCGTATATTACCACCTGTTTACAGACAGGCAGTTTTCTAAAGATTGTAAAGATTGTCGCATTCCTACCAGATGCATGTCAGGAAACCCTTCCCTCCATGCATAGACTTCACCCCAGCAGCGATTGCCAGATGTTCATGCATTCCTACATTAGATACTGTTGCTTCACGTTCGATTCCTGTCTCGCATCTAAGGAGCAAGGTTGTAAGAGCTGTCTACTGTGTATTTGTGCTAACAGTCTAGAAGTGTTTCTTAGAAGCAGTGTTGCTAATTACCAGCTTCAAAGGGTACTGTTTTCCTAGCACGCTGATGCCTGATCATCTGTCATTTTTCTTGCTTTATGCCCTGACAGCTGCGGCAACTTCTGTCGGACAAGTTGACTCCATTAAGTTCCTGGAAGCAAACATCAAAGGTAATGAATGACCTTCAACTCCGAGGCATGAAGTCCCAGCTTTGTGTTTTCCCCTCTGTTGTTTGTGGCTAGCTCACTTCTGTGCAAGGCCCTTATTTTTCTGGCATTTTTATTTGGTATGGTGCCCAGCCAGGGCTGACAGATAGATAGAGATCTACAAAAGTCAGGAGGGCCTGGGTAAACGCATAGGAAGGCTTGAAACCTGTGAGATTTCTGGTACTGTGTCAGGGCTGCTGGAGATTAGCTCTGTGCTGCCCCCAGCCACTGGTGTGGCCAGAGAGTTCAGAGACGCTGTCAGCTCTGTTTTAAGGTGGTATTCTTCACACAGAATACAGAAAAGACTCATAGGGCGGGGCAGTAAGAAGCAGGGTTGGAATTTATTGAGAAAATGTGCGAAGGCAGATTTAAGCCTGGGCATGAAGAAAGGGGAGGGAGGGCTAGGAGAGGAAAGTGGTACACAGGGGAGCAGCTTCTCAAAAAAGCCACACGTAGCATCTTAGCATGTTTGCAGCCTGCTGCCACACCCCTGACATGATATGACGATAATGGACTAGCCCGTGAAACTGTGAGCAAGCAGCCATTCAATGTTTCCCTTGAGAAAAATCACCTTGGCATTATGAAATGAAAACAAAAGCAAAATAACAGGCTGGGGAGGCAGCTCAGTGGTTAGGAGCCCTTGCTATTCTTTCTGAGTTTGGTCCCTAGCACCCACAGGAGGCGCCTCATAACCATCTGCAGCTCCAGCTCCGAGAGATCTGACACATTCTTCTGGCCTTTGTGCACACCCACGCGCATGTGGCGTATTCACATGCGCGCAACAAAAACAGTAGAATAAAGCACAGTTCACTGAGGAAGCCACCATAGGATGATGTCCTTGGTCTCCATTTTCTGGTAGAAACCGCTGCTATGGATGTAAGGAGCATAGCCCATCCTGGTCACTGTGCTTTGACTTGGACCCCGGGGGCTATAGGTGTGAGGAAAGTATCGTAGTGGCTGAAAGAGGTTCATCCAGTCTGTGATTTCAATAGTATGTGTTGAACTTAAATTGCCGGGACCAGAAGGTGTGAACTAATGTCCTTAAGTAGTCTTAGGAAAAGGAGGAAGTTACAGGAAAGAATACTTACCAGTGAATAAAATGTGGCAGGGCACTCCCTACCCTTCAGAGCAGGAAGCTGGTGTTTTCCTTCTTGAAAACTTAATACAGAAAAACATCCTCAAGTGAAAAGAAAAAAATAGAAGCACAGACTCAAATGCCTGGCAGCATTTCTCCCTGGCATGCTAGGTGCTCACTAGACAATGGTGGTCACCGAGCGAGGGCCTGTTTCTTCTGCATCCATGGCCCCTCCTTATTTTGATTCAGTCCAGGTGGTTAAAAATTAGATATTTTTGGTTATCTGGTTAAATGAGTGTCCTTCTTCCACTTCTGGTTTCTGTGATAGACTATCAGAAAAAAAACAAGGAAGGGTTTGTTTGGCTCACTCTCCTACGTCATTTGTTACAGTGCAGTCAAGGTGGCAGGAGCCCAAAGCAGCTAGCCTGCAGTCAGGAGCAAGGGAGGGGAGAGGAGGAGCAGGAGGAGAGAGAGAGAGAGAGAGAGAGAGAGAGAGAGAGAGAGAGAGAGAGAGAGAGAGAGAGA